CTAGTTGTGGAGGACGTTGCTTCACTGGCCCAAGTTGGCACCATCATTGCCCTCTTCCCAGGTGAGGCAGATCAGTCGCCGGCTTCTGGATGGCCACTCACAGCGGCTCTTGGCAGCTCACATCGGCTGCCGGCCGCTCACGCTGGCTGCTGGCCACACACGGTAGCCCATGGCAACCCACTGCAGCAGTGGCTGCAGCCTATGCCGTCGACAGTGACTCACAGCAGCCCAGCTCCAGGTTGAGCTGTTGTTCAGCATCTTAGCTGTAGAGGGCAGTGTCACTGGCCCTCATGTGTGGGATCCGAACTGGGGCATCCCAAGCCAGCTCTTAACCAACACGCCACTCGGCGGGCCCCAAAAGTTTAATCTTTATTCTGAGGTTTTATTCAAGGAGTAGAGCAGGGGTGAGGTTGGGAGGAGGCACAGTCAGGTTTGTGTTTTAATCCTCCCTTGGCTACTGTGTGAAGGTGGATGGGAGAGGGACAAGAATGGAGGCTGGGAGCCCAGGAGGACCAGGCAGAAGCCTTGAGGAGGGGAACCGAGTGGGCAGAACCCAAGTGGACCATCGGGAAGGGGAGTTGGTGTTCAGGAAGAAACCTAGGCCTATAACCTGGGGACTGGGCTACAGTGGGTCCTCCCTAGGATGAGGACCTTGGAGGAGGGGCATGTTGGGAGAGGGAAGTGGAAGAATTGCCCCTTCCTAATCTTGTCCCTCTGGAATCTACTGTCCCCTGCCTTTGTTCCCCAGAGACACTGTTCCCAGGCCTGAGTGAGCCACTCCTCTCTTCCTGCCTGCAGCCTCTCCCCACATACCCCCACCACCCCACCACCAGCAAAATCCATTCCAATCTTACACTTCTTCTGCAAACAGGATGACTTGGCTGACATACGCCAACCAGCAAGAACTGGTCTGGGGTAGCCTGGAGAAACCTGCCTCTCCCTCCCCTTGGTGAAAACTTGTTGGGGTGGGGCACTACTGGTTCAGACTTTCAGGGGACTAGCACTGTTTTATTTCTGCCATATTGTCTAGGCATTTAACAAGCTTTCACTGGATGCCTGGTTTGGTGTCCAGCCCTGTGGTAGGTGATGCTGCTGACCAAGCAGTGGGTGACCCAGATAACATTGGTACCTGTCCTCACGAGGCCCACAGTCCAGACAATGACAGCCCAGGGTGAGGATGGGCGAAGCATGGGCAGAGGGGTCAGGGTCTCCACGGGGTAGTATAGGACACCATGGGAGCCAACCCACACTGGTGCATCAGAGACTTCCAAGAGGAGGAAACCTTTGAGTTGAGTCCTGATGAGAGGCAGCCTGGGAATTGATGTAGCTTCAGAATGGAGAAACAGGTTTAAGGATCCAGAAACCTTTTTTATTAATTTTTTTTTATTGAGGTAACATTGATTATAAACATGTAAATTTCAGGTGTACAGCATTGTAATTCGATATCTGTATATTTACTCCCTTTACTCTTTTGTTCTCATTTTGGAGTATGTATACCTGGGTTGCCAAAAAAATGCATACAAATGGACACTTTGGTCAATGTTGCTCAAGCAGTAGTTCGCCATCATCAGAAGAGTCTGGACGTTGATGGTAACCACTTTGAGCACCTCTTGTAATTGCAGAAGTCAAACATGACTTGTATTCACCTTTAGTTATCAGTATATATTGAGTATTACAATTGTAATACAGTTGTCCTTTCTTAAAGTGTGTATACATTTTTTGGGCACCCTCTGTACTTGGCATTGTTGAAGGCACTGGGGATAAGGCAGGAAAGAAAACATAAAATCTCTGTGTTCGTGGCGGTGGTGGAGGGCACCTGAAGCCATTTTAGAAAAACAAAGTGAACTGGCATAGCAGGATGATAAGAGAGCAAGTGGAGTGTGAATCAGGCCAGATCGTGAAGTGCTTTGTGGCAAAAGTAGTTTGGACTTTGTCCCCAGGATAGTGGGGAGCCATGAACGAGTCTCCAGCAGCGGAGGTACCATCCTGAGAGGCAGGAGGATGCGGAAAGGACAAGCCACCAGAGGACACGCTGAGGCGTCCTGAAGATTAAGGGTCCCGGGGTTAAGTGTTGGGGAGGGCAAGACTGGGGCGGTGGAGGGGCGGGCTGCGGTCGCCCAGGCAACGTACGCCGCGCCAAACTATTGGCTGGTCTTCAGTGGCGTCATCCTTCGCCCGGCAACGTCTGCCCTCGGAACCCCCGGGGCGCGGCCTCCGCGAGTGTTTCAACCCCACCCTCCCGGAAAGGGGTGGGGAGGGGCGTGCTCGCGAGTCTTGCTCCGGGGCCGCGTCCCGGCCTGGTATAAAGGGCTCGAAGAAAGTAGTGCTGACGATCTGGAGCGAGGACAGTAGCTGATTTGAAGGAAACAGTTTTGATGTCCCCGCCATCTTCCACCCTAGAGACATGGCCCCACCCCCTGGATGGTCGGAATCCTTTAAATGGTCTGGGCTCAAGGGAGGGGAGGGGCGGGTCCGCCGTCTCCTGGAGACAGGCTGGTCCGCCCAGCCAATCCGCGCCCCGCGGCGGGCAGGACTCCAGCCAATCGCAGCTCGCGGTTCGGCTCCGGGGTGGAGCTGGGTGAGTCCCAGGCCAGAAGAAGAGGCCCCCGAGAGGCTAGCAAGGCCCCTACCCAGCACTGGAGGGTTGCAGAGCTGCTGACGTTCCAGGAGGTAGTCGTTGTGAACCTTGCAGCTGAGGTGAGGGGTGGCTGCATGGCTTGAGACCTGCCTTGGGTTGGGGAAGGTGGAGGCGCTCCTGCAGAACTGTGAAGGCGGAGTCTGGGCTGGAGTGGGGGACGCAGATTAACAGTGACTGATAGGGTTTGGGGACCGGAGACCGAGTTTGAGATGCTGGACAGGAGGCGAAGTTGTTGGGGCAAAATCTTCAAGTGCAGGCAGTTTGAAGCTGGGCCCTAGGATATTTGGAGAAGTGAGAGAACCAGGGAAGGAACTTTTAGGGCAGGAAATCTGGATATTGGGACAATTCGGGTCTCCCGGACGGCTTGAATTCTGTGCACTAGTGTTCTGGAAAAGGTGTGAGTGGTTGGGGGTAGGATCTTGGGTATTTGGAGAAGCGAGAGAACTAGGGGTAAAGAATCTTGGTTTCCCAGATGCAGTGGCGGGGAGGAGGTGCTGGGGGAGTTCCATGTTCAGGTCTTGGAGCCGGAGGGGGAGTTCAGAGGTGAAGTCTAGAGGCGTTTGAAAGACGGGAGAATAGGGGAAAGTTGACGGGGGAAGGTCTCAAAATTGAGATACCTAGGGTCCCGAACGGAGTGGATCAGAGAGCATTTGTAGTCTTTGAGCGACGTGTTGAGGTCTGAACCCAAGAGCAGTTAGGGGGAAGAACCCAGGACCAGGGGTCTGAAGGACTGGGAGAAAGCAGTGTTAGAGCCGCAGTCTCGGGTGGGGGAGGGGTGTTCCGGGCGCGGAGCTCAGACTCGCCGCCCAGGGAGGCAGCGGAGGGCGGGGCGGGGCGGGCGCCGGCAGCTGGACGTCCGGGTTCCCTTCCCCCCACCCACTCCGGTTTCCTGTGCGCATGCCTTGAAAGGCGGGGGTTGATTCGTCCCGGTGGCTTGTTGAGCTCTATGGGGATTGTAGTGCAAGATGAAAGTTAACGTAGGTACCAGAAGGCTATTGGCCCACATTTCCCACAAGCCCCTGGACCAAGTTGGGGCGTGTGTGGCTGCTGAAGGGAGAGGCTATCCTGGAGGGGGCGGGGCCTGTAGAGGTCCGAGGTCTCGTTGGATGGGTCTGGAGGGGGCGGGGCTTGGTGTGAGTCGAGTTCTAGCAAGTTTTTCTGTGGGGGCTCACTTTAAGGGAAGCGTAAGGCACTGGCGAAGGGAACGCGGGGCCCTGTTTCTTGCTGTTGGGAGCGCTCCCAGTCAGTTAAGAAGAGGGCATGGGCAGAAATATAATCTGTGAAAGAGTCTCGAGAAATAGGTGCCCTAACAGGCTCCAGTGGCTCAAATATAGTAAGTACTCAATAAATAAAAATATCGAATAAAGAAAAAGCGATTAACTCTTGTTCATGAAGCGTTTCCCGTGTGGTGGGTCCTGTGGGGTCTCCTTGACGGTGTAGTGAGGATTTTTACAATCCCTATTTTACAGATGAGGAAACAGGCCCAGAGAGGTAATGTCACATCATTTCCCAAGATCACACAGCTGAGCACTGTGAAAGGCAGATTTAAAACCGAAGATTCCCTGCCTTTAGTCCAGGTCTCTGTACTCCACACCTGTCTTGCATGTGTCACATTTGAAGAAATGAGTATTGTGGAAAGAATAGTTTTAAGAGTCCAGAACTTGAGGTAGGGACCTCATCTTATAGGTGAGGAAATTGAGTCTCAAGGAAGAAAACTCACTATTTGAGTCCACCCAGGCAAGTAAGTGGGATTCAAACCCAGCAGTGTTTAAGGTCAGGTCTTGTTTTCTTAGTCATACACATTTACTCTCCTTAGCCTTGTGGGATTCATACTATCTCCATTTTATGGATGTGAAAACTGAGGTTCAGACCATTAAAAATCAACCATATAGGAGATTCTGGATTTGAATTAGCCACGCTGTTTCTGACTTACCCCTCCCTCTTTTCTTCATAGGGCATCATGGTAGGAGGCTTGAAGAGAAAACACTCAGATTTGGAGGAGGAAGAGGAGGATGAGAAGTGGGACTGGGGTCCAGCAGGCCTTCGAAGCTGCCAGCAAGCCCTGCTCCGCATCTCCCTAGACAAAGTCCAGCGAAGCTTGGGCCCCCGAGCACCCAGCCTCCGCAGGCATGTCCTCATCCACAACACCCTCCAGCAGCTCCAGGCTGCGCTTTGTTTGGCTCCAGCACCTGCCCTTCCCCCTGAGCCGCTCTTCCTGGGTGAGGAGGACTTCTCCCTGTCGACCACCATCGGCTCTATTCTCAGGGAGCTGGAGACTTCTATGGACGAGACTGAGCCCCCTCAGAATCCAGTGGCTCCCCTGGGCCTCCAGAACGAAGTGCTGCCCCAGCCGGATCCAGTCTTCTTAGAAGCTCTGAGCTCCCGATATCTGGGGGACTCTGGTCTGGATGACTTTTTTCTGGACATTGACACATCCACAGTGGAGAAGGAGCCTGCACTGGCCCCACCAGAGCCAACTCACAACCTCTTCTGTGCCCCAGGGTCCTGGGAGTGGAATGAACTAGATCACATCATGGAAATCATTCTGGGATCCTAAAAACTGATTTGGAGATCGGGGGTGGGGATGCTGCCTCCACATCTCAGCCGCAGTGGGCTGGATCCCAGGGTGCAGCCGTGTGTGTGTGTGTGTGTGTGTGTGTGTGTGTGTGTGTGTGTGTGTGTGTGTGTGTGTTTTGGTGGGGGCTCTAAGCAGTGACTGTGGCCTCCTTTCCTTCCATTTCAGGGTTCCACAACTGTCTTGCATGTGTGCGTGTGTCTGGTTACCACAGCCTTCTGTGAAGGTGGGTCTTCCTGAATTAATTTATCTGTTCCAAATGCCTTAATGAGACTCTGTTTCTGTGAGTCTGAATTCCCACTTCCACATTTCTTCTGCCTTGCCCTCCAGTTCCTGCTCCCCTTGTGACCACTGGGGCCTCAGGGAAGATAAGCTGGGCCTGTCAAAGGATGACAGGGATGTGCTGCCTGGTTGCTATGGAAACACAGACTCTGCCTCTTTTACCTCCAGTGAGGAGGAGGGGCTTGCCTCCTCCCCCCAGGCAGAACCCCACCTCCTTGGCGGGACCCCAGTCCCAGCAGCCTCCTGATTTATAACCAGGCCGGACCACGTGCAATAGGGTGGAAACCGAACTGCTCCATGCCGCGTTATTTAAAAGAAAGGCGGGTTTTGTGGTGGTTTTTTTGATTGTAATTATTTTTTTTTAATAAAAGTATTTTGGAAGGGATGGTGTTGCCTAAAGTTTCTAAACTACAGTGGGTCAATGGGAGGGACCTGGTAAATTCCATAGACACCTGTACCCCTTCCCTGCCAAAGTTGGGGAAGTATATCATTAAATATAACATTTATTGAGTGCTTGTTAAGAGCACTATTCTGCCCACTTTATTTGAATTAAGCCATTTAATCCTCATAATTATATAGAAGTAGATACTGTAATCATATTTTACATAGGAGGAGGCTGAGGTTCAGAAAGGCCAAGTCACTTGCTCAGGGTCATGCAGCTAGCAAGGAGTACCAGGGAGCTAGGACTCAAACTTAATCTGCCTCCAGAGCTTGGCTCTCAACTATCGTATTTGTTGCTTCTTGGTAGATTTAGAGTCCCCAGCCACCTGGGTAGACACAGGAGGGAGAAACAGTCAGGTCAATTACCTGTCAAAGAATAGGACTTTCTGACAGTTAAAATTTTGTCAACCCTTTCATTTGTATAAAATGTGCTGCTGAGCCCCAGAGGAGAAAGAAAATGCCCAAAGGTCCCCGGTACTAAAAGATCTTTTAGAAAACTTGATTAGGAAGTAGAGCCAGGCTAAAGTTACGGTTTTTAACTATTTGGGAGGTGCAATCCCAGGCTGGTGAAAGAGGAAAAGAGAAGGGAGGCTAGGGAAGATACAATGTGATAACATTGCTGCTGTACTGGCTATGTCTCCGCAAAGACTTCTGAGGTCATGGCAGCAGGTGACTTGACACATTAGGGACTTTTCTGGAAGCTTTGCAAGGAGGAACCACACCTTGGCATAGTCCACAGGCAGGGAAAGGAGGGGGATTTTGCCTGAGCTTTCTGGCTCAGCCAGATTCTCACCCTGAGAGGGACATTGCATCTAAGTCTGAGAGCAGTGGGGGAACAGGTGGGTGCCAATCAAGAAAGAGGTGGGGGCTGGCCAAGTGGCATGTTGGTTAGGAGTTGGCTTGAGACACCAGCTCTGAGCAGCAGGGCCCTGGTTTGGATCCCACATGAGGGCCACTGACGCAGCGCCCTCTACAGCTAAGATGGTGAACAGCAGCTCGACCTGGAGCTGGGCTGCCCACGAGTTGCAGGTGACAGCGTAGGCTGCAGTGGGGCTTGCCTGGAGCGGGTGTGAGCTTTTGTGAGCTGCTGTGAGCTGCTGTCCAATGGCCGGTGAGCGACTGCCTCACCCGGGAAGAGCACAATGATAATACCAACATGGGCCAGTGAAACGACATCCTCCACAGCTAGACTGAAGAACAAAAGGACAGCAACTTGTCTGTTCCCCTTCCCGGATTCCCCAATAAAATCTATAAAAAAAAGAAAGGAAAGAAAGATGAGGTGGTCAAGAGGATCTCAAGAAGGCACATAAGTTCCATATCTCAATATGGATGCCCATTGGATGATGTCTTTCTCCTGCTTAAAACTTACAGCGACTTCTCATACTCTGAATAAAATCCCAACTTCACCAAGGCCTTTGAGCGATAGTCTTGCTCCTCAGTTCAGTCTCCCACTGTCCCTAACCTCCAGCCACATTGGTCTCCTTTGACCTCCAAGCTCATTTTGTCCCTGGGGTCTTTTCACTTGCTGTGAACTCTCCAAAGGACACTTCCCTCATAGCGTCACCAATCCAACTGTCCCCTTCTCAGAGTGGCCTTCCCTACCTTTCCTAGCTCAACATGTCCAGATGCACCCCCCTACCCCCACCACATTCTGTTTGAAATTATTACCTGTTTATGATTAGCCTCTTGGTTTATTGGAAACTGAGAGGAAGGGGTTTTGTCGGTCTTAGCCCAGCTGTATCCCCCAGTGCATAGAACTATGCATGGCACAAGTGGGCACTCAAAAAAAAAAAATTGGTTTTGCTATTGTTGAAAAAATGAACTGACCTCGTCATGGCCAACCCTCCCTCCCACCTCTCTGTACTCATCTCCCCCATACTCCCTCATTCCCATGCTCCAGCCACACTATTCTCTGCCATCCTTCAAACACACCAGTATGTCCCAACCGCAAGACGTGGAGTAATACCTGCCTCCCTAAGCAACTGTGCAGTGTGTAAAGGGGGCCTAATGCACACCAAGGATTCCAATGATTGCTCAAATTTATGGAGTGCTTACGGTGGGCCTGGCACTCTTCCATACACATGAGTAAAAAAGACAGTTCCTGCTCTCATATAGCATCATAGTGGGGGGAAGCTGAAATAAACACAAAAAGTAACAAATGCTGTAGAGAAAAAGAAAGCAGGAATGTGATGAGGGGATGTCGCTATGTAGATGGAATGGCTAAAGAAGGCCTCAGTGACAAAGGGACATTGGAATAAAGACCTGAAGGAGGTGAGATGTGAGGTAAGTGATGAGTCTGTGTGTGGTGGGGGCGGGGACACAACCCGGCAGCAGGGCAAAGGCTCTGAGGTCAGAACATGTATGGAGCATTTGAGAGAGGGCGAGGTCAGTGTGGCTGGAGCAGAGTGAGCAAGGGGAAAGCGTACTCGGAGATGAGGTAAAAGAGCTGAGGGGTCCAAATCATGTAGGATCTGAGGGAGTCCCACAGGGAGGACCTGAACTTCACCGTGAGTGAGATGGAAGCCATGGGCAGGTGTTGAGCATTGGGGGATGGGGGTGGCAAGACCTGACTCACTTTTAAATAGGCTCTCCTTGACTGCTCTAAAGATAACCACAGTGAGGCCAGTATGAGGAGCATCCCCACTTTCCAGATGAAGAAACTGAGGCTCAGAGAGGCCCAGCTCCTGCCCTGTTAAAGGACTGGCGAGAGAAGTGGAAAGGTTGGCCCGGCAGAGAGAACCGGGTCCCGAGAGCAGAGTCCACGTCCCCCACAACCTGCCTTCGCCCGTCGTCCCTAAGTGGAGGATGGGCCGAGGCCACCTCAGGGCGTAGCCAGGAAGGGCCGGACACTCCCCGCTGCCCACCCTCCGCCCTGGGCTGGCTCTGGGCGGGATACCCGGAGGCGTCGGCAGTCGGGAGCCGGCCCGGCGCCTCCTCCCTCCCAAGAGGCCGGGTGGGGCAGCCGGCGGGGCGGGCGCTCCCCCTACACCCTCCCTTCTCAGCTGGCGGAGGCTCCTCCCTAGGCCTGCTGGGCGCCGTAGCTTCGCTTCTGGTTTCGTTTCCTAATGCCCGGTCTCTCTTCTTCTCCCTTCCCCCAGCCCTTTGAATTTCAGTATCCTTCTCCACTTTCTGGTCTGTTTCAATGTCACCTCCTCGAGAAACCTCTCCGGGACCATCCTGGCTAGACACTTCTCCCCAAGCCTCTCTATTAATCCCACCCTATTTTGTTTTCTTCGAGTCACTGAACGGAGGCAGAGATTACCTTCCTCATTTATTAATCTTCCAGGGTCTTCTCATCCCACTCAGAATGAAAAACAAAGGTCCATAAGAGTGCTCTGAAGGGCCTGAAAACGTCTCTGACCTGCTGCTGGACAGCATACAGAGCAGCTACACTGGCCTCCAGTACATGACCACCACCCGGCCTTCACACTGGCCCTTCCTTCTGGCTGGACACTTCCTCCAGAGCCTTACTACCTCTCTCATTTCACCAAGTCTCTACTCTGTGTCACCTCTTTTCATATTTCTTTTCTCTTTTCACCTCCTCCCCCAATCCATCAGAAGTGAGACCATGTGAGGCTTATCCAGTGTACCCCGTCATCTACAACAGTGCACACCACATAGTAGGTGGTCAATAAATACTTGTACATGTTAATCAAATGACTCCTGTGAGCTCTTCTTCCATATATGGCCTGAAGCAAGCCTCTTGGAGACTCTGTGCTTCCTTTTCCTTGGCCAACAACATAGGCTGTGGGGGAAAATATTGAATTTTCCTAGCATGGGCCTGGTTCTAATGATCATTTTACCCTCTTTTTATTATGAAAGATTTCAAGCACTTAGAAAAGACAAAGGAAAAAAAGTATGTATTCTGAGCATTTGAAGACCCACCCGCCTAGATTTAATGGTTAACATTTTAACTTTCCTTTATCTGCATATGTAGATGTGTACATATATTTGTTCTTTTGCTGAATCACTGGAGAGTAAATTGCAGACATCATGACATTCTACCTCAGTAGCTCTGCAGGCATCTCTTACAATTAAGGACACTCACCTACAAAGCACAATACTATTTCACGTCTAAGAGAAGAAGAATTTCATATCATCCACTATCAAGCCAATTTTCAAATTTCCCCGGTTTTCCCAAAAATATCTTTTATAGCTTTTTTCCCCCCAAATCAGGATTCAGTGGAGGTCCACACGTTTGTTTGCTTGTAATAAAGAAATGATATAGTACCTTTTATTCTGGGACATCCTCCCCCAGCCCCAATAATCCCTTTTTGTGTTTTTTTGAAATCGAATTTTTGGTGGAGCAGCCCTGTTGTACTGTAGATGTCCCACATTCTGCGTTTGTCTGATTGTGTTTGTGTTTAATTTGTTCCTGTTTCCTCTAACCTGGAGGCTGAGTCTAGAAACTGGATGAGATTTAGTTTATGCAATTTAACAGGCAGACTCTGTAGGGAATGTTGTGTACTTCCTAAGGCACCAACAGATCAGGTGGCACCAGTGTCGGGGTGTCCCACTATTGTCAATGCAGAGTTTCATTACTTGGTTAAAGTGGTAAGCACCACATCGCCATATCATATAAGGATATTTTCCCCTTTGTAGTTAGCAAGTAATTCGTGTGGTAATGCTTTGGAGTTTGTCAAGATCCTGTTCCCCACTAACTTTTCACCCTAAAGTTTGAGCATCCATTGATAATCGCTGACTGGATCAACTAGTATAGTTAGCTTTTTTTTTTTTTGCTGAGTCATCCTGCCATCTGTTGGCAGCTCAGCGGCAGCTCAGCTCAGTCCGGGCATCGAACCGCTGTTGCTCAGAGCTCGCATTCTTTTTTTTTATTGAGGAATTATGGAAGGGGGAACAGCACTGGGGAATCAGGGAAGGGGAACAGACAAGTTGCCATCCTTTTGTTCTTCAGTCTAGTTGTGGAGAACGTCGCTTCACTGGCCCAAGTTGGCACCATCATTGCGCTCTTCCTGGGTGAGGCAGATCAGTCGCTGGCTTCTGGACAGCCCCTCACTGCGGCTGCTTGCCGCTCACGCTGGCTGCTGGCTACACACGATAGCCCATAGCAACCCACTGCCACAGGGCTGCAGCCTATGCCGTCGCCAGCGACTCACAGCAGCCCAGCTCCAGGTTGAGCTGTTGTTCAGCATCTTAGCTGTGGAGGGCAGTGTCACTGGCCCTCATATGTGGGATCCGAACCGGGGCCCTCTGGCGTCCCAAGCCAGTTCTTAACCATCGCGCCACTCGGCCAGCCCCCAAGCCAACTCTTAACCAACACGCCACTCAGCCGGCCCAGAGCCTGCACTCTTGAGCAAGCTCTCAACCAACTGAACCACTTGGCTGGCCCAGTTAGCATTTTTAAAAAATTGACTTTTCAATTACAATATTGTATTGTTTGAAGTGTTCAAGATAGTGATTAGACATTTATATAGCCTACAAGGTGATCAGCCCGGTAAGTCTAGTACCCATCTGAAACCATATATATAGTTATTACAATATTATTGACTATATCCCCCATGCTGTATTTTATATCCCATGACCAATTTTGTAACTTGCAATTTATACTTCATAGTCCCCTTCACCGTTTTTGTCCATCCCACTACCCCTCCCATCTGGCAACCATGTTTGTTCTCTTTATCTGTGAATTTGTTTCTGTTTTGTTTTGTGTTTTAAATTCCACATGTAAGTGAAATCATATGGTATTTGTTTTTCTCTAACTTATTTCACTTAACATTATACCCTTTAGGTCCATCCATGTGGTTGCAAATGACAAAATTTCATTCTTTTTTTTGTTTTTGTTTTTTTTGGTTTTTTTTAGCTGAGCCATCCTGCTACCTATTGGTAGCTTAGCGGCTGCTCAGCTCGGGCTGGCATCGAACCACTGTTGCTCAGAGCTCAAACTCTTGAGCGAGCTCTTAACCAACTGAGCCACTCGGCCGGCCCTCAAAATTTCATTCTTTTTTATGGCTGAGTAATATTTCATTGTATAAGTATTCATATTGAGACAGATGGCAAAACTCAGATCATGATAGTTCACAGAATAAAAATGATTCAGAGTGTTTTCTGTAATGAAGGTCCATAAGACCTGCTACATTCTACTTACCTTACCTTCCCTTTTAGGAAAATTTGGCCTCAATTCACATCCCATAGTGATGGTTTTTACCCCACCCACAGTGGTCCACCATTTAAACAAGACCATGTCGATACTTAGGCTTCCTAGAAATGAGCCTTCCTAGCACTTTGAGACCACACTATCTGACAAAATGTTGGTCATCAGCGTACCCTTCAGATTGATTTATGACCAAAAGGGGAAACTGTGAATGAAAAAGGGGCTATATAATAAATCCAACAAAGCTCAGTGACAGAAAGTAACTTCACAGGATAATCTGATCATAAATTCCTAACTGGGCATGTCATGGTGGGTAGTCACACCCCAGGCCTATAAAAGGTTTCTGTGCCTTAAGCAAGCCCTGTCCATTGCTCTTATCCATCTAGGTTAACACACTTTTGAAATGCCTCTTTTTCAGACCCCTCAAATATGTAACCACCCTCAAGAGAGCACATTATATTGTTAACTATCCTGTAATCCACTTCCCATTTTGCTCTCTCCCACCTTCATGTAATCTTCCTTACCTTCCATCTTTAATTCCAAAAGCATGATAGAAGCTGCAAAACTGTCATTTGTTGGAGCATTTGAGATCTTGCTTCCTAGCATGTTGTCAGTTTGGCTCAAATAAACTCTTATAAACATTATCTACAGGTTTGGACATTCTTACATTGACACTATGTACCACATCCTCTTTATCCATTCTTCTATCGATGGAAACCTAGGTTGCTTCCATATTTTGGCAATTGTAAATAATACTGCATAGTATAGTTTGCACTTTTTGAGCACTTACTTTGGCCAGGAGTGTTATTCACAACTAACAGTTCTTCCCACAGCTCCAGTAGAGTTAGAAAATGAGCTACTGTACTTGAAGAAGGTAAGTCCCATTGTCAGTTTATCAGACAAGTATTCAACTCCTGTCTATTTATACCCCATCCCACATGCTCCCCCTAGAACTAAGTGCCTGTGCTATCACTACAACAGCTATTACTACTAACAAAAGGGCACATTGTGCACTACTTGGAGCATTTTGCACAAATTGTTCTATTTAATCCTTAAATCAATCTTTTGCATCAGATGCTATCCCCCTCATTTAAATAAAGATGAGGAAACTGAGACTCTAAGGGACTAAAGCCCTTGCTCGAGGTCACTCAGCTACTTAGGGAATGGCGCCCAATATATGACCCCAGTGGCATCCCCCCCACTCCCACCTTTTGACCCCCACCATTGAATCCAACTGCCCAGAATTTGCCGAGTCTAGTATAGTGCTCTTACAGATACGATCTTATTTTAATTTACCTAACTCAAGAGGTAGGCAAGAAGATCCCCATTTAACAGACTTCGTGTGGCTCAGAGAGGTCAAGCATTTTTCCAAGGTCACACATCAAGTTAGTGGTCAGTTAGAATTTGAGCCCAGGCCTATTTGGCCTAGCGTGTAGAGCCCTGTTGGGGTTGGGTGGGTAACAAGCTCAATTGCTGAGTTTGGCAGTGCATGGGTAGGTGTGAGCGGCCTGCACCTTGATAAGCAAAAAACCCCTCCTGGTTACTGCCTGCCAAGGCTAAGAGCCACCCAAACTACTCCTCTACTCGCACTCATCAGCCCGGGCATGCGCCCTGAATCCAACCTGCCCTCCCTTCGAACCTGCCTCCTACAGGCTCCGCCCATCACCGTCCAGGGCCAATCCCTGTGTGGAAGGCGGAGCCGCCACGGTAGTGGGCGGTAGCTAAGAGGAGTCAGGAGCCTGAAGTCGTGCGCTGGAGTCAGAACTGCGTCTCCCGACCCAGGCGCCGGTTGCCGAAGGAGAGCTCGCAAGCGATGCTGCCGCCGCCGCTTCCTGATTGGCTGCGGGTGGCTCCCTCTTCGTTCTGATTGGCAGCTGGTGAGCTGGGTATGTAAATGAAGGGAAGGGGCCTAGGGAATGAAGGGGTACCGGTGGCTTAGTCCTTTGGCAGGTTCGATCCTCGGGTCCGACAGGTGCCTGCCGGGACTGCCCGGGATCTACACGCGCGGGCCTGTAAATGCCTCCCGCCTTGGTCGGACCGGGTGAATCACGCCGCAGCCCGGGAAGGGGGCGGAGGCGCCGGCTCTCTGGCTCCGGCTGCGTGACTCACCCGCCCCCGCCGCCGCTTCGAAAGGAGCTGCCTCCACTGCCTTCCGGTAGCGAGCGGAGGCCGAGAGGGCAAAGCAGCCCACAGGGGATCCCGGCCTGCACGGCCCTGGGAGGCAGGCAGGAACGACAGCCAGGACGCGGGGCGGTGTACGGGGTCCTGGGGTTGAGGGGCTGGAATCCCCGGGGGAAGGCCCGCTTGGCGCCACTAGGGGGCGCGGGACCGGGGGGGCGGAGTCAGGGGGGTGCTGAATTCCTGCGGTTCCGGACTCCCGGGGCTACAGGGAAGGAGACGAGGACCCAGTTTTGAGTAGTATGAGGGGTCTCTCTTAAGGTCCTACTGGGCAAGGACCCGGGGACTGGACCCTGCAGGCTGCCTGCCTCAAAAAAGCAGCTTGGGCCAAGGGTCCAAAACTCCAGGGACCCCCCCGCCCCGAGGAAAGTGTGGGTCTTCAAACTTCTCTCAGTGACTCCCGTGCCCATCAGGATTTCCCGGCAAGCTCTGTCCACTCTGCCTTCCAAATAAATCCTGAATCGACCAACTTCCTTTCATGTCCACTACCACCTTCTACTCCAAGCCACCATCATCGCCTGCTCCAAAGAGTGCAGTAGCCTTTCTGAACGGATCTCCTCCCCCTTCTCTCCACACTCCCCACTACCTTCCTCAAAGTAGCCTAGGAGGCGCTTCTGGAAACCTAATCAATTCCTAGCACCACTCTCCTCCCTGCTCAAAACCCCTGAATGACTTCCCACCACACTCAATAAAATCCAAACTCCTTGCCTCTGCCTACTCTCCACCTACCCCGACTCCCCGCCCTGTCATTCTGTGCGCTGACCACACTGGCCCTTTTTTTTTTTTTAAGGTATAATTGGCACACACTGGTCTTTTTTCAGTTCAAGCTCATCGTGCCTCCAAGTCTTTTTTTGCCTTTGCTGTTCTCTCTTCTAGGATTGCTTTCCCCTGGTTCTTCCGTGGCTGACCCCTTCTCATGCTTGAGAGCTTAGCTCAAATGTCTCCTCTGAGGAGCCTTCCCTGACCACTCCCCAGAACCTTTTGTATCTTCCTAGCACCACCTTTACACTTCCTGTATTTGTTAGTTTGTTGTCTGATGCATAGTAGATACTCAATAAAATTAGATTAAACTGTGAAACAGCTACTTTTAGGTAAAAAACGTTGAATATTGGACAATTCACATGGTTCATTGATGAAATAAATTATAATAGTTATTAATAATAGTGCTTATTAAGAGTAATTGCTATGTACCAGGCACTGTTGTAGTAGTTTTTGTATATTATCTCATATATTCCTTAAAACAACTCTAGGAAGTAGATACTATTATCATTCATATAGTAAAGATTCCCTAAGAAAACCTAGGCTCAGAGAGGTTAAGTGACTTGCCCAAGATCACACAGGCAGCAGTCGTCAGAGCCAGGTTTGAACTTAACATTGGCTTTCCATAACTCAATGACTTGTCTCCCCACAGATGATGCTGAGCAAGGGCTTGAAGCGCAAGAGGGAGGAGGAGGAGGAGGAGAAGGAAGCCCTGGCAGTGGACACCTGGTGGCTAGATCCCAGCCACCCAGCAGTGGCACAGGCACCCCCAGCAGTGGCCTCCAGTTCCCTCTTTGACCTTTCAGTGATCAAGCTTCATCACAGTCTGCGACAAAGTGAGCCAGACCTGCGGCACCTGGTGCTGGTAGTGAACACGCTACGGCGCATCCAGGCATCCATGGTGCCCACAGCCTCCCTGCCACCTGTGCCTAGTGTGCCTGCAGCCCCTGGCGTGGCTGATAACCTGCTGGCTAGCTCAGACGCTGCCCTCTCAGCCTCCATGGCCAGCCTCCTAGAGGACCTCAGTCATATCGAGGGCTTGAGCCAGGCCCCCCAGCCCTTGACAGACGAGGGGCCACCTGGCCGCCCCATGGGGGGAGCCCCCCCTGGCCTGGGTGCCTTGGACTTGCTGGGTCCAGCTACTGGCTGTCTGCTGGACGATGGGCTCGAGGGCCTGTTTGAGGACATTGATACCTCCATGTATGACAGTGAACTTTGGGCACCAGCCTCTGAGGGCCTCAAACCTGGCCCTGAGGATGGGCGGGGCAAGGAGGAAGCTCCGGAGCTGGATGAGGCTGAGCTGGACTACCTCATGGACGTGCTGGTGGGCACACAGGCACTGGAGCGGCCACCAGGGCCAGGGAGCTGACCCCAGGGCTGGGATGTTTGGTGACCAAACAGCCTGGTGGCTGAACCAACTCACCTTGGAAAGACACAGCTGGCTTCTGTAGAACAGAGGAGCCGGAGGCTTCAGAGAGACAGAATCAGTCCCGGGCAGCTTCATCTCCATCCCCTTGTCTCAGGCTGATGGAGGGAGTCTGGGATCAGTCCTCTTGATGGATGATAGGGCCTGGTGGTTGGAATGTCATTGGACCAGGCCTAGTGCTGGACTGACTCCCCCAAGGTCATAGCCTGGGATACTCTCTCCCTGATGTGGGAAGAGACCCCAACCAGTTTTATGAAATTAAAAACCTGGGAAATCTTAAGTCCATGTGCTTCTTTGTCTCTGGGCTAAGGCGAGGGTGAGATAATAACCTCTAACGTTGATTGACCATGGACTGTGTATCCGGCATAGCTCTAAGCACTTGACATGTGTTAACTCATTTAATCCTCATAACAAGATGGGCATTTTTATTATCCCCATTTTACAGTTGAGAAACTGAGACTCCAGGAAGTCATCACTTGAGGAGGTGGGGTTCAAACCATGAATTTGACAGTGTTATTGGTCTGCTTTTAGGTCTGGTAACTGGCCTTCTAGAAAACCCCAGAACATACTCAGCCAGGTTTCCCTGGTGTGCCTGTTCATCATAGTAGTGGTGGTGGCAGAGGGGCCCCAGGCCACTTTTTAATAAGGAAATCTAGTCAGTGCCTGGGGTCTAGGAGGGCTGGGCATGGAGGCAAAAGGGAGCTTTCAGAATGAGCCAGAAATAAAAACATAAAGCTGGAGGCTGGATGGAGCCTCTGCAAAGAGCAGTGAGAGGCAGCTCTCCAGGAAAATGGTGACAGAAAGGGAGACTGCAGCAACTTTTTAAAAATAAAATTCACTCCGGGTCTCAAATCGCAATTTGGGCAGGGGACAGGGTTGCTTGGAGGCTGAATCAGAAATAAAACCACTAGATTTGGTGGCTTGACTGAACAGCAGACTGTCCAGCTTTCCTTCTAGAAGAAACCCAGGCCCCGGCTAGCTGAGGCCACCTGCCTGACTGCCTGTGTTGTGTGACAGGGCTGGCCTGAGCGCCGGGTGTCTGCGCCGCCCCCGCGGTCCAGCCGCATTCCTGGCCCCGCTGGGAGGGGCCCCACACTCAGAGGCCTGGCACGGGACCCAGGCGGCGTCCTTCCTGGCGGCTGTGGGGGCAGGGCAGCGCCCAGGGTGCTGGTGGGGGAGGGGCGGGGGATAGAGGGAGGAGCAGAGGGCCGGAATGTGACCTGAGGGGTCGGCTGGGCCTCGAACGGGAAAACGCCGACAAGGGGACATCAGGATTGTTGAGCCCCAGCGCATTCCCTCTGGACGGAAGCTTAAGGGAGGCTGAAACTGGATGGAACTGGGGGAGGCCGGCAGCTCCGGGCCGGGAAGGGGCGGGCAGAGTGGAGCTTCCTGGAGGAGCAGAGGAAGTCGTGCCCATTTCTGGAAGTGGATGAGGCGGCCCCAGGAAGGGGGTGGAAATGCCCGAAAGGAGCTGGTGTCCAGGCTGAAGGTCTTCCAGTGCCTGACTCCAGCCCCTGGGCAATGGGACTTAGACTCAGTTTTGACCCAGACCCAGACCTTGGGATTTTAGGTGGAGCTCAGCAATGCCCCCTGGTGTCCAGTCTGGGGGTCTGTGATGTTGCTGCCTTAGATTCCCTGGAGATCTGTCCAGTGGTTCAGGAGCCCCCAGTGTGGGAACAGCAATGCCCTCTGTTTACAACACCCTGGGGGACCTGTTCCTACTGCCTCTGGGTGCCAAATTGGGGGATAATCGTAATACCTACTGATGCAGGCTGCCAACCCATATGTCAATGATGTTCTCATCTGTTCCTGTGCCTGCTTGGCCAGCGATGCCCTCCTCTCCCCAGAGCCTCTGCGTACAGTTGCACAATTTGTGCACTGCACATAGGCTCCATATTTAAGGGACTACCACACATGTTTCAGGCACCATGTATTTACATATTTATTATGACAGTTTCCCAGCAGATGGAGGTCAAGTGCCTTGGGGAAGGGGCATGCCTTTTGTACAAAAGCACCATATGGGCTAGATCAGCCCTGGTCCCATCCCCCTGGTGCCTTCAGGTTTATGAATTGCTCATGCGTGAGGACCTGCCCCAGTCTCCCCAAACCTGACCCCTGGAAGACTGCTCAGGGTCCCTGATGCTGGTGTGCCCTTCCGCCTTCAGGCTCAACCCCAGGAAGCCAGCAGATTCCAGGGCCCACACCATTCCTCACTGAGCTGCCAGCTCTGGCACTGTTGCTGTCTTTCACAGAGCCTCTGTGTATTCCCACCACGACACTCCCCAGGCCAGCTCCCCTCCATAGACACTCACAGGGACTCCCATCACACATGCATTTCTTTCCTGTTCTTGGTCTTCTCTCTTCCTTTTTTCCTTCCTTATTCAGTAAAAATTTATGAGTACCTACTGTGTGCCTGGCCCTATGTAAAACGCAAATCTCACCACATCTCTCCCCTGCTCTGGGCCTTCAGAATTTATCCCAGTCCTCTGGGATCTGAACCTTGCACCTCCAAGGCTCACCTTCCACCCTTGTCCAATTCACCCATCCAACGAACATTTACTGAGCACCTAGGGTATGCAGTCCAGGTGCAGAAATATAATGATGCTTAGTCAATGATTACTGACACAATAAACCATAAAGCAGAGATTGTTTGAAAAGCAGACCCCCTGCATTTGAACCTCAGCTTTGCCATTCTGTGGCTGTGTGACCCTAAGCAAAGTATTTAACCTCTCTGGGCCTCAGGGTCCTCATCTCTAAGCTGGAACAATAACAGTACCCACCTCAAAGGGCTGTTGTTCTGAGGGAAGAGTGTTGTAGGAAGAGGGAACAGCAATGTGCAAGGAGGAAGTGAGGGACCCTACAACCTTTTCAGGGATCTGTAAGCTGCTGGGTTTGACTAGAATGAGAGGGAACGTGGTAGGGTCAGTAATGGGGCTGGAGGGGTGGGCATGAGGCAAAGCACATAAGGCACTGGATGAAAGACTTCGCTCTGAAGGCACTAGGGTAAAGGGATCTTTCTGGCTGCCATGTGGACATGGCGGTGGGAAGGTGAACCTGGAGCCCAGCAGCCCAGAGGGGAGTCTGGGAAGGGACAAAGCAGGTACGGGGAGTGGGGAGGAGGAGAGGGGAAAGACATTAGAGAGGACAGGCTGTGGAAATGATGAGCTGGGATGGAGGAGGGGTCTAGGAAGCGATCCAGAGCTCTAGCTAAGGGCCTGTGGGACAGTGGGGCCAACTTGGGATGGTGACCAGGAGGAGAAGCAGGTCTGCGGTTGACACTGAAGCCAGAGAGGGACAAAGTGGGTGCAAGGAGCTGGGGGGCCTCCCAGCGGGAGGCATCCAGGTGGCTAGGCCCTGCCACTGGAGCTTAGTAGAGAGCGCTGGGGGCAGGCGCAGCCATTAAGGATGGGAGTGAGGGAGACATCAGTTTCCACTGGCTGCACCGGGTGGGACCTGGCTCCTGCTTGACTCAGGCTGGGTGGGGAGAGCATGGTCTCTGAACAGAAGCTTCCACCTCCTTCCCTAGCCCTGCAGGATGTCCTGTGTTTATTGAGATGGCCTTGGTCAGAACCGGGACACTGGTGCCAACCCCTAACCTCAACTTCCCATGGTCACACCCCCTTGGGTGAGGGAAAGCAAGAGACACAGAGAGACAGACAGAGAAAGAGAAGTAGACATAGAGAGAATGAGACAGACATGGAGACAGGGACAAAGGGAGGAATATAGACATAGACACACAGAGAGACAGAAAGAGAGAGAGGGACACACCATTCATGACAAAAAGCCCTGCAAACTAGGGAAAGCAGCTTCCTTCATCTGCTAACGGGCAGCTGCACAAAACTGGCAGCTAACATCTTACTTAGTGGCAAAAGACTGAATGCCTGTCCCCTCAGGTGGGAACAAGAAGGGTGTCTGCCCTCTGAGATGCAGAGAGAGACAAGATAGCATGCACCAGCCTCCCTTGTCTGTCTGGCCCTGAACAGAAAGGGAAGATTTTCTTCGACCTATAGTCAGACTCTTTCCACCTCAGCTACTTAAAACTTGTCTCTGACTTTGTCCCTCCCACAGATACCCAGGGCCCTCAGGACAAAGTCTCAGCCCCTCCTCATGGCCCTGCTGACCAGGGGCCTCTCCTCAGCTTCCCCTCACACTCACATTCACCAATTTCTCAAAGGGGCCCTTTACACACAAGCTGTTTCCTCTACCTGAAACCCACTCTCATTTATCCACCACCTGAAGCTTTGCATGAACTCCTATGTATCCTTCAGATGCCAGCTCAAATGTCACTTCCTCCAGGAAGCCCTCCCTGCCCTTTCTGATATTACCAGAGCGCCAGGTCCCTCATACAGACCTAGATCTGTCTCTCATGGTGCTTAGCTCAGTGTGTAATAATATACTGATTCCATTGATCACTTCTTTAATGTCTGCCCCCTTTCAACTGTGAGTCCTGTGAGGGCACAATGACTGGCACTGCTGTGTCCCAGCACCACCCAGCCCAGGGATGGATACAAAGGAGGTGTCTGCGAATAGCTGGTGAATACATGTATAAAAGAAAAGGAGATGCTAAGGAAAGGGCATGTTTGGCCCTGGCGACACAGCCATGAACAAGGACGCAGGTTTTGAACATTTCCTATGTGCTGAGGTCTCTTTGGATTCAGGTCTTTGATACTTCCTTCTGCCCATAAAACTGTTCTCCTCCCTCTTCTATTGCCCAGCTCTTAAGCATCATTCAAGTCTCAGCTCACATGTCCCCTCCTCCAGGAAGCTTTCGCTGGGCTTCCTTCCTAGGCTGGAGCAGGCACCTCTCCTAGGCTCCCCGAAAAAGGCCCTGCCCAACTCCTTCTGCCTGTGAGTCCCCATCACAACCATGACCATTCTGGGCTGTCTCCCTGTTGGACTGTGAACTCTGTGAAAGCAGGCCCCAGCTATCTTGGTCAAACTGTGTCCCCAGCACCATCCAGCATGGGGCTGAGCACAAGACCAAGTACTCACTGACTGCTGATATTGGATAAAGAACTGCTCCCTTCTTCCCTCTGGTGCTTTGCCCATGTTCACCCCTCCTTTTCACCTGGCTCCCTCATCTCAAACCTCGTTTGACTTCAGATGTCACCTTTAGGAATCTCATTCTGAGTCTGCCCCTCATGGTGCATTTAGGTCTGTCAGTGTCCCTTAGTGCCCAGCAAAGGACCTGCCACCAAGGGCTTGTAAATGTTTGTTGAATGAATAAATGAACAGATGAATGTTTGAATGAATCAATGAATATGAGCGAGAGAGACAGAGAGACAGAGAGAGAGAGAACAGCCATGAGGTGAGGGTCTCCTCAGACTCATCAGCAGCCCTGACCACCATCCCTTCCACCCCTCTTTGGGAGGAGGGTTCTGGCCACACCCCAGAACTTGCTGGCTGCCAGGCCTGGAAGGCTTTTCCTGGAGCTCAGCACATTCCTTCCTTCCCCGGTGGCTGAGAGTGGGCAGGGGGCATTTCAGAGAGAAGTGGGGAGGCCCCAAGCATTCTGGGACCCTGCCAACCTGTTCCTGGTCCCTTATGCCCTTAGGAATAAGCCCTGAACACACAGTGTGGGGAATAAGATGGGTCCTCAGAGGGACCACTGAGCTGGTGTGAGTGAGGGGCAAGGGTGCCAACTAAGGAGAGAGCCTGGTGGCCTCGCCTGGCTGGACAATGGGGCAGAAGCTGCTGACATGCATGTTGGGGGTAATCCCTGGCCTCATTGCAACCCCAGCCACAGACCTGGGCTCAGAGTGCTACGAACATCCGAGGCAGCGGCTGGGTGGACACAAGGGGCATGTGGGGGTACTTATGCTCCTTGTGCTGTCCCCCAGGGCCTGGTGAGTCAGGGCAGGCTGGGGGCCGGGGGCTAGGGTATCAGGGGGCCTGATCTTGGTTTGGGAGTTGGGTAGGTCTGGGTTCAAATCCCAGTGCTACCGATTACCTGCTGTGGGTGATCATTGGTGTCACTTATCCTCTCGGAGCCTCAAAGTCTGTTATATGAAGGGAACAGAAGAGTGTTGCAGCATCTTTGAAGTCCAGCAGAACTGGAATTGGACTCCAGATCTACTACTTCCTGGCTGTATAGCTAAAAACTAGGTATAATTTATCCACCTTGCACCCTTGATTCCAGGGGCAGAGCTTTGTGTGCCCAGCACAGTATTTAGCATATACTATCCCCTCAAATGGCAACTTCATTAAGCAGAGAAGTGGGGCTCCCCTGTGCCTGTTTCACTCAGGGCGAAAGACCCCTAACAAGTCTAGCCAGTCCCCTGATTTGTGTAGCTAATAATGCAAAATACTTCTAAGTAGCACTCACTTTGTGCTACTTCAAATTTTTTTTAACTCGTTTAATCTCACAACAACCCCATGAGGTGGGCACTTTTACGATCTCTGTTTTAGAAATGAAGAAACTGAGGCCCAGAGAGATGCTGTGACTTGCTGAAGGTCATAGAGCCAGGAAGTTGCCAAGGTGGGGTTTGAACCAAAACTGACTGGGAGAGGGAGTGGAAGTAGTTTATTTTACAGGCCCTAGGAGCCCAGCAGGGCCATGCCTGGGTCTGGAAGTCAGGAACTAGTGTTGGTGGAGTGCTCAGTCTCCAAGGGGCTGTAGCAGTTTACAAATCCCAAGAACAGGACTCATGGTGGCGTTCTCAGCCCAGGCAAGAGAGTGTGGCTGTCGTGTGGCTCCCCACCCCCTTGGGGGTGGATGTAGCTGGGAGAGGGGATGTTTGTTTCCCCACCACCCACCCCCTGGTGATGTCATGCCTCGGCAGCCAATGGCTAGGGTCAGTCCCCCTCCCCCTGCCCATTCCTTTTCCCCCCCAGTCTGGGGTTGGGGCTGACCAGATGGACCGGGAGCTCTCGAGGTGTCTGGAGGTCCAGTGGTAAGAGATCAGCCTGCCAGTTCCTTCCCTGGCCAGGCTGCAGAGCCATGGGATTGAGACCCAGAGTCCTGGGAGGTGTTGGGGGGGCTCTGGAGGAAGCTTGGTGTAGGAGTTGAAGGCACAGACTTTGGAGCCAGACCTTTCTAGTTGTGCGGCCTCCGGCAAGATACTCGACCCTTTGTGCCTCTGCTTTCTGGTCTCTAAAGTGGGCTGCTGGAGGCCACCTCCCAGGGCTGACTAGAAGGTAGATGAGTTGCTACGGCAGGATGCCTGGGGTGGGGCAGGCGTTTTGGTCCCTGGAATAGATCCTGTGGAGGCAGTGCTCATCCAGTTGGCGGGAGGTCCTGCCCAAACTGGACTTTGTCCCTCACCCAAAACTCCCCTTTGGTAGGGAAGAGTGTGGGGCTACTGGTGAGCAAAGGCTGGGCATGAGACACTGAGCTGCACAGCCCACACCCCCACTTGCTGTCAGAGACTAGTTTATAGTACTTGAGCACTTACTATATTCTGAGAATATTCCAAGCACCTGTCATTATCTTAAAAAATCCTCAAAGCTGCTCTTACTGGCTTCATTTGACAGATGAGGAAACTGAGACCCTGAGAGGTGAAATACCTGGCCCCAGTATTCCAACCTGAGAAGTGCTGGACCAGGGACTAACGGGGGCAGCTGGAGGTTACTGCCCGCACGCTCCCCCCTCTGCCTCACTAGATGGCCTCAGATCATGTCCAGCGGCCTGGATGGGTCAGGTCAAGACCCTGCTCCCATTGCTGAGGGCAGCAGATCGCTCTGAGAGCAGAATTCCTCAATGAGGTTGGCGCCAGCCATGGGGGTAGGCGGGTGCACAGGGCAAAGCTGGGGTATTCCTCAGCAGGCCCAACTCAGCTGAAGAGCCCAGGGCCCCTCACCCCAGTCGCTCTGAAGGGCATGAGTGGCCTCTTAAATGGGTATCTAGGTTGTACCTTCCCCATGGAGGTGTTTCAATGATTTAATGAGCCAAGGCAGAGAAAGATCTTTGCACATATTAAGTGCTCAAGGAATGGGGACTCTGAGAATTCTGGAAGTTCAGGAATGTACCAGGGTAGCGCCACACGAACTGCTCAACAAATGGGCTGTTTGCATCTGGAGGGTCCTGCCTTGCTTTGATTCACCACAGGAGCCCCATTAGATCTTCCTCTAAGACAAGTCAGGGCCCCCCCACCCCCACGGAAACTCCACACCCCTCCTTCTCCTGCCAAGTGGGATGGACAGAGCTGGGAACACAGAGCGCCCAGGGTGGGGTGGGCTTCCTTCCGAAGCTGCCCCCACTCCCCCCCCCACCCCACCCCAGGGGCTGGGTACGTGGCTCAGGAAGGGCACAGTTGTGCTAAATATAACCTGAGCTGGCCACTATCCTGGGCATGGATGAGGAAGAAGGGCACTCTCTCTTGTCCCCACCCCAGCTGAGCTTCCTGTGCCAGCCTCTGGGTGTGACCCTCACTGGCCCAGCCTGGAGCAGAGAGCTTGGCCCAGGAAATCCTCTCCTCCATCTCCACTGCTTCCTACAAGGACCAGGCTTCTCCCACTCCCAGCTCAGGATGCTATGTTGTGTCCGGGACTCAGAGTTAGCTTCTCAGACCTGGGTTCAAGTCCCAACACTGTCGCTGTGATGTCCTGTCTCTCAACCCTCATTTACTCCTCAGTAAAGTGGAGCACCATGAGGCCATATGTACAAAGTGCCTGCTTGGCCCAGAGCTGGCACCAGGGGTCCCTATAAAAATGCTCCTTCTGACACCCTTCCATCCCCTCGCCCAGCCAGCCCCACTTCTGCCCCAGCTATTTTGCTCCTTGGGCCTCCTCCTGTGCTCAGAGCCACCGATGTAAGTTAAGGTGCAGAGTTGGGGTCAAGGGCACATGTCCTTGTTGCGTGACCCCAGACAGGTCACTTCCCCTTTCGGAACCTCAGTTTCCAACCCTAAAACAGCTACCGCATCCAGGGTGATCCCAAGACCTAGGGGTGCCAGCACAGGGCCCAGTTCAGAGGAAATGCCCCAGATATGGGAGCCAACCCTACTTACAGGGGCTGGGGGCTTAGAGGGGAGGCCGGAGAAGGACACGGAAATTAGGACACTTAGCAGAGCCAGAGAAGAGCCCCTCGACACAGCAGAGGGCCAGCTAGTGGAGTGGGGACAGTTGGAACATTGAGGGGGTCCCTGTGTCCCCTCTCTTGGCCAGTGGTGGGCTATGAAGGGCCATTGTGTGGCTGGGGGTGGGTGGGCAGGGGCGGAATGTGACTGGGCACAGCAGATAGGCCATTGTTTGAGGGAATGTGCCCCGTGAGGCCTGACCTTTCCCTTGGGAGTAGGGGTTGGCGGGTTGGCATGCCAGGTGGGGGCTGGGAGGACAAAGCCAGAGTCAGGGGGCGGGTGGGGGGGAGACAAGACCCATTCCCTTTTGCCCATAAAGGTCGTTAGGCTGCATGAGAATCGTAGCTCTACCTTCTTCTTGCTGTGTTGTGTGATCTAGAGCAAGGTTCTTGGCCTCTCTGGGGGCCTAGGATTTTCTGCAGTGAGGTAGAAAGTGAAGGTCTTAGCACAGAACTGGCAAAGAGTGACCACTCAATACCTATTTAGTTATTATCAGGGCTGGAGCTTTCAGACAAGTTCAAGTCCTCGCTTAGCCATTTGTGACCTCATCGAGTGACTTCCCTTCGTCTAACCTCAGGTGTCTTCTTTGTAATGAGCTCAATATTTGTATTGACCTCACAAGGGTGTTCTGAGGTCCACGTGCAATGACCCCAGTAGGACCTTTGACACAAGATCAGGACCACAGGAAGGTCTTAATAATAACAAGTGTTTATGAAGTGACTTCCATGTGCCTGGCACTTTATATTTAGTAATTCACTTGACCCTCCCAACAGCGCTGTGAGGGAGATGTTCTCATTCTTCCCGTTTTATAGATGAGGAAACTGAGGTGAGGTGATTTGCTCAGGGAAGTACATGGGATAGTTATGATTATTTTATAGTAAATTTGGCCCCCTTGGTCGGCTGAGGTGGTTGGTGTAGGGGCTCTGCTGTCAGGCCTAGGAGTCAATTCTGTCTTTACTGCTTGTTGTCCAGCTGTGTCACCTTGGGTAAAGGTCTTCTGAGCCTCAGGTTCCCCACCTGCGTATGGGGACAGAGTATTGACAGAGAACGCGAAGGGTCAGACACTTAGGAAACAATCACTGGGATTAGCTGATAGTAATGCTTATGTTATTCTTCTTAGAGCCCCGGACCCAGGAGGCCCAAGGAGCTGGAGGTGACCCTGAGGTGAGCACTGGCTGGTGCCACATGCCCCACCCTGCCCTTCCCTGGCCCACCTGGAACCTCATGCCCTTGTCTCTCCTTGGCAGGCAACAAGACCCCAGAGGAAGGGTGTGAGCCCCGCAGACGACTGTGTGGCACCCCAGGCTGGGCTCCTGTTAGGAGGGGGTGCCTGTGCCCAGGCAGCGGTGAGAGGACAGCTGGGATGGGGGCCCTTCTTCCCTTCTGGTACCACCTTGACCTCTCGTTCTAAGCCCAGCCTCCTTCTCTCGTACTCCTCTGGCCTCAAGCCTCCATCTGTGTCCCCTGCAGGCTCAGAGGCAGCTACTCCATGCAGAACTGAAGCTGGTTCTGCAGCAGAAGGGAGAGAAGAAGTGGGAGCCTGGAGCTCAGGTGACACCCAGCAGCACAATGGAGGTTAGGAGCCGGAGTGCTGAGGTGAGTGTCCACACATCCTCCAAGGGGGACTTGTGGGGTTTGGGTAGGGGGCACAGACTAGGATAGCAAGGAAACATTTCCTTGCTTCTCTGTGCCTCAGTCTCCCCATCTATGAAATGGAAATAGCAACAGGGCCTATTTTATGGGTCACTGTCGAGCAAAAAACTTTTAACAGGTAAAGTGCTCAGCACAGCGCCTGGCCCAGACTAAGATTCAAAGCAGCTAATTCAGTGGAGAAGAATGGAGTTATATTAACAGTGAGCTAAAGAAAATCAAGTAGAAACCCTTCATAAGAAGAGGCAGGATGGTGCAGGGTTAAGGCCATGGGCTTTGGATCCATGGGTTTAAATCCCAACCCTACCACTTCAGCTGTGCAGCCCTGAACCAATGATCTGAACTCTCTAACCCTCAGTTTCCCCATCGGTGAAAAGGGGTGTGGTCCCTACTTCTGAGGGTGTTGAGGACTCACACTTGAGTCATTTGCAAAGGGCCTAGTGCCTAGGAAGCCTCCTTCACCAACTGCTGTCACTGTTAAGGACATAGAGCACTAGCATTGACTGCATCCTACCGGATGCTAGTCTACTTTTATGGGAGCCAAGCTGGCTGAGGGGTGGCAGGCAGGGGATAAAGTGCAAAAAGGTCAATGCCTACAGGACAGCCTATGGACCCTGAGGTCACATACCTGAGGCTCAGTGGCTTAACTTGCTGTGTGGCATTAGGCAAATCACTTCACTTCTCTGTATTTTTGTGTCCCCCTCTGTGACTGCCCAAGCTGTGGAAAGGATGAAAGGAAACGCTGCACATGAAATGCTTAGCCCAGGGCCTAAGGATGGTGGTGATGGTCATGCAGCTCCCTGCTGCCCCTGCCACAACTCTTTTTACCCCTTCTGTGCCCAGCCCTTTAGTACTGGGGCCACTGCTGTGGGGCATCTGGCCCAGATCTGCTTTCCCCTCTCTAAGCCCTGGGCTCAACTCCAGTCTGTGCCAGCGTAGATGCCTAGATGCCCTGCCCAGTACAGCATCCCCTTGGATGCCTGTTGCTTCAGGCCTCAGCTCACAATCAGAGACTCCTTTCAGTACACCCGTGTTACCCAACTTTACAGTAGGGAAACAGGCTCAGAGAGGGCAAAATTCTCCCCTAGGGAGACACAGTAGACAGTGTGGAACTGAGGCCTCTCACTGCCTCTTCTGGGAAGCCCAGATGTAAATTCCACAGTGCGCAACTGGGCTGGTGCCAAATCAGCACCATTGACAATAAATACCAGGAATACCACCGTCCGCCTGTCCACCGCTCACTAGCCACAAACCCCCCTTCACTGGATTCCCTCTCCCATGGGCGTTCTGCAGGTCTTGGGGTCATAGAGTCCACAATAGGGCAGTGTCACACGCATTCAAGCCTACAAGGAGGCCAGTCCCACCCCTGCCCCTCCATCCCGCACCACTTAAAGATCCAACCCTCTCTTTGGCATCCTATTCTCACCCCGACCCCTGTTCCGCTGCTATTAAAGCCCCTGCCTGTAGCTCGATCCCATCCCCACCCCACCGCCACACTGGCACTCTAGCCACACCACCTCGTATCTTTGGCTCCTCCTCTCTGGCTTGTGGGCTCTATCCACGCGTGCTCTGACCGAGTTCCGCACCCCTAACCCCGCCCTCCAGAACTGGCCACGCCCCATGGAGAGCACAGCCCCGCCCTCTCGATCACAACTCCAGTTCCCTCTAGCCTACCTACCCTCCCCTATGACCCCGCCACTCCTGGCTGCAGCCCTACGGGTTCCGCGAGTCCAGCGAGCCAGCTTAGCTGTTGAACCTTTCCGCCAGCCCTACAGAGCAAGTGGCCCTCGCGCCTGCTTAAAGGAGAGATGCCTGAGTGGGTGGGTCCCCACGACCTGCCTGTGCCTCGCCGAGGGGCATGTGCCCTAAGGACTCGTTTAAGAGACGCTTATAAGCGCGATGGCGTGCTCTGGGTGAGGTCTAGCCCAAGCGCCTCATGGCGACACCTCGCTGCCCTCCGCAGGAGCTGAGGCGAGCGGAATTGGTGGAAATCATCGTGGAGACGGAGGCACAGACTGGGGTCAGCGGCATCAACGTAGCGGGCGGCGGGAAGGAAGGAATCTATGTCCGCGAGCTGCGCGAGGACTCGCCGGCGGCTCGGAGCCTCAGCCTGCAGGAAGGTGGGTGGGGCGGGGAAATGGGGCGGGGCCTTTTCGCGGGGGCAGGGTTAGGGTTCCGCCCCCGGTCCCGAGCTTGGCCTGCGACAAGGAGGCAGGGTAAAGGGCTTTGGGCGGGGCTTTGTGTGTCGGCGTTGGGGTTGCTCAGATGGTTTCTGGAAGTTTATTGTCTCAGTTCTACTCCCAGATTTGCAGTTTACTAGTTTGTGATCTTTCTGTGCCTCAGTTTTCTCATCTCTAAAATGAAAATAATTCTAGTACTTACCTCATAGGGTTATTATGTGGATTAAATGAGTCAGCATTTGAAAACACTTAGCACATGGCTAAGTGGCATATAGTAAGCACTATGTAAGTGCTAGTTATTATTTTCGTTGTTAGGGCTGGAGAGAAGAGGTGGAGTTAATTTGGAGGAGGTGTGAAAGGGAGCTTAGCAAGGGATGTCTTAAGTAACATGGATGGATGAGGCTGGTGTGATTTATTCATGCAACAACTTTACTGTGGGACCTTCTATTTCCAGATATTCTAGGTGCTTGGGCTACTGCAGTGAACAAAACAGATAACACTCTCTGCACTTATGGAGCTTAAAAATATATAGTAAATTAGAAGACAATATGTGTTATGGATGCCAGGAGGGAAGCTGCATTTTTAAATAGGGTGAGCCAGGAAGGGAGGAAAGGCCTGAAGGAGGTAAGGGAAGGAGCTATGTGGCCATCTGGAAGAACATTCTGGGCAGGCAGAACAGCCATTGCAAATGCTGCAAGGTGGGAGAGTACCTGGCTTGTTGGAAGAGTAGCGAGGAAGCCAGTGTGGATGGCATAGAGTCAGTGAAGAGGAGAGTAAGAGATGAGACCAGAGAGGTTAGAGAAAGGGATGTTTTTAGAAGACTTTAAAGGCCATAGTGAGGACTTTGACTTTTAATCTGGGAGGGTTATGAGTGGAGAACTGACTGTGTTGAACTACTGTATTAGCAATAAGACTGTAGGGAGGCAAAGCGGGGAGCAGGGAGACCAACAAAACGGCTACTGTGATTATCCAGGTAAAAGATGGTGATGCTTGGGACCAAAACAATGTTATTGGAAATGAAGAGAAGGGTTTGGATTCTAGATATATTTTGGAGGAGGAGCCTTCAGGACTGGATACGAGGTGTGATGAAATGAGAGATGTCGCGGGCCGGCCGAGTGGCTCATTGGTTAGGAGTTGGCTTGGGACACCAGCTCTGAGCATCAGGGCCCCGGTTCGGATCCCACATTAGGGCCAGTGATGCTGTGCCCTCTACAGCTAAGATGGTGAACAACAGCTCGACCTGGAGCTGGGCTGCTGTGAATCGCTGGCAATGGCGTAGGCGGCAGTGGGGCTGGCTGGCAGCTGGCGTGAGCTTTTATGAGCTGCTGTGAGCCACCTTGATTGGCCATCCAATGGCCGGCGAGCGACTGCCTCACCCAGGAAGAGCACAATGATAATACCAACATGGGCTAGTGAAGCGACGTACTCCACAACTAGACTGCAGAACAAAAGGACAGCAACTTGTCTGTTCCCCTTCCTTGATTCCCCAACGCTGTTCCCTTCCCCAATTCTCTGATAAAATCTTTAAAAAAAAAAGAGAGAGGGGTCAAGGAGGATGGAGTTGGTAGCCCCACAAATGGAGACTATTGGGGCTGGAGCTTGTTTGGAGGAAGACCAGAAGTACAGTTTGGATCTACTTAGTTAAATGAGAGGTGTCTTTTGGACACCAAGGTGGAGATATGGAAGAGCAATTGATATATAACTCTAGGATGGAGGGGAAAGTGCTGGGTGGGAGGGATACATTTGGGAGTTGTCAGCATACTTATAACCTTTAAACTCCTGAATCTGGATGAGCTTCCAGAAGGGGTGAGTAGAGCATATAGATGGAGAAAAGAAGTAGATTGGCTAGTGAAGTTGGGTCAAAGGCTGAGGGGTCAAGTCTAGGACTTGACCATTGGACTTAGCTACATACACAGAGGTGACTGCATGTTACTTTGAGAGGAGCAGTTCAACATTCTGGGATGGGGTGTCAGAAGTGTGATTAGAAAAGTGGAAATAATGCCGCTAGACAACTAAGTGCCTTTTGCCATCAAGGTGAAGAAATAAACGCGGCAGTAGCTTCAGGTGGAGTGAAGTCAAGACAGCCTTTCTTATGTAAGAAATAATGGGATGCTGTATGGTGATGGGAATAATGTAGAAGAGAAGGACAATCGATGATGTGGGGGGAGAGGGGAGAATTGCTGGAGGAACTGACCTGAGCTGGAGTGGGACAGTTAATCCCTAGGAACAGGTGGAGAGCAGAGTAAATCACCACAGGAGCAGCGGGGGTGAACAATGGGCTGAGAGCTCTTCTGATTCTGGTCTCTAAGTAAAGGAAGCAAAGTCAGTGTCTGAAATGTGAGGATAGGAAGGGGAGTGGATAGGCAACAGGAGTGGCCTGAATTGTTGTGGATTTGCCCAGTGAGGGAGGCGGAGCTAAGGCCATGCGATGGGGCTTCCTTCTTTTTTTTTTTTTAAAGATTTTTATTGGGGAATTGGGGGATGGGAACAGCACTGGGGAATTGGGGAAGGGGAACAGACAAGATGCTGTCCTTTTGTTCTTCAGTCTAGTTGTGGAGGACGTTGCTTCACTGGCCCAAGTTGGCACCATCATCGCGCTCTTCCAGGTCGAGGCAATCAGTCACTGGCTTCTGTCACTGGCTGCTCATGGCAGCTGCTGGCCGCTCATGCTGGCTGCTGGCTACACACAGTAGCCCATGGCAACCCACTGCAGCAGTGGCTGCAGCCTACGCGGTGGCCGGCAACTCATGGCAGCCCAGCTCCAGGTTGAGCTGTTGTTCAGCATCTTAGCTGTAGAGGGCAGTGTCACTGGCCCGCATATGTGGGATCCGAACCGGGGCCCTCTGTCGTCCCAAGCCAGCTGTTAACCAACACGTCACTCTGCTGGCCAAGGGCTTCCTTCTTAAGTGTTCCCACCTCAAACAGGGAGGAACTTTGCATCTCAATCCTGCTCTGGGGGGATAGGCGGAGCCAAATTTTTGGGCGGGGCCTCGCTTTGCCGGCTTCCGGGAAGTGGGCAGAACCAGGCCCAAGTGGAGATGGGCGATGCCTACACTCCACTCACCTCCACCTCGCCTGCAGGGGACCAGCTGCTGAGCGCCCGCGTGTTCTTTGAGAACTTCAAGTATGAGGACGCACTACGCCTGCTGCAATGCGCCGAGCCTTACAAGGTCTCCTTCTGCCTGAAGCGCACTGTACCCACCGGAGACCTGGCGCTACGGCCCGGGACGGTGTCTGGCTACGAGATCAAGGGCCCTCGGGCCAAGGTGGCCAAGCTGGTACGCGTGCTTAGCCCGGCCCAGGCGCTGGACTGCCCCAGCGATCCGGTCTCTGCGCCGTGATCCCCACTCCCTTACACCGTGGGCCAGCCTTACCCTCTGTCTTGTCACTAACCAAACGCTAATCCCACTCTTTACCTCCTGTTCCCTGCCCCTAAACTCCTCCCTGGGAAGGAGAACCCACCCATCCCAGTCCAGGGCCCTCACCTGCTTTGAAGAAGCATCCCCACCTTCAGCTCCAGGCTTGTAGGGGTCCTGAACCAGGGGACTTCAATCGGGATGCCACGATCAAGCCTGATTGCCCCTCCCTTACTGCTGAGTGACCCTGGACAAGGGTCCCTCCTTAGGCCTCAGTTTCCCCATTTCTAGAATGAGGGTATTGAGGAAAATCCTGGATAAGGACCTAGAAGTCTTGGGTCCCAGTTTCTACACTCCTGTTGACTCACTATAAGATTCTAAATGAATGTCTTTGCCTTCAGGGGCAGTAATGGTGAAATGACAGCAGGAAGTCAGGATGGTTTTGGGAAAAAGATGCTCAATCCATCACATCCCCAGCCTGGAACAATATCAGATGGGGTTCCCCTTGTCCACCACAGGCCTCCCACTGTCCCACCGCCTCCCGCCTCTCTCCTCTCTCCCCAGAACATCCAGAGTCTGTCCCCTGTGAAGAAGAAGAAGATGGTGGTGCCCGGGGCCCTGGGGGCCCCTGCAGACCTGGCCCCCGTTGACGTCGAATTCTCCTTCCCCAAGTTCTCCCGTCTGCGTCGGGGCCTCAAAGCTGAGGCTGTCAAGGGTCCTGTCCCAGCCGCCCCCACCCGCCGGCGCCTCCAGCTGCCCCGGCTGCGAGTCCGAGAAGTGGCCGAAGAGGCCCAGGCAGCCCGGCTGGCTGCTGCTGCTCCCCCACCCAGGAAGGCCAAAGCAGAGGCTGAGGTGGCAGCAGGAGCCCGTTTCACAGCCCCCCAGGTGGAGCTGGTTGGGCCCCGACTGCCAGGCGCTGAAGTGGGTGTCCCCCAGGTCCCAGCCCCCAAGAGACTGGGGGAGGTGGCCCCTGCAGCGGAAGCAGCCACTGGCTTTGCCATCCACCTGCCAACCTTTGGGCTAGGAGCCCCGGCTGCACCCGTTGTGGAGCCTGTGGCTGTAGGGATCCAGGTCCCCCAAGTGGAGCTGCCTACCTTGCCCTCGCTGCCCACTCTGCCCACACTACCCTGCCTGGAGACCCGGGAAGGGGCTGAGGCGGTGATGGTGCCCACCTTGGAAGTGGCAGCACCTACTGTGGGGGTGGACCTGGCATTGCCAGGCATGGAGGTGGAGGCTCGAGAAGAGGCACCTGAAGTGGCCCTGAAGATGCCCCGCCTCAGTTTTCCTCGCTTTGGGGCTCGAGCAAAGGAAGTGGCTGAGCTCAAGGTGGCCAAGGGCAGCCCTGAGGCCAAAGTGAAGGGCCCCAGACTTCGAATGCCCACCTTCGGGCTTTCTCTCCTGGAACCCCGGCCCACTGCCCCTGAAGCTGCTGTTGAGAGCAAGCTGAAGCTGCCTACCATCAAGATGCCCTCCTTTGGCATTGGGGTCTCGGCACCCGAGGTCAAGGTACCCAAGGGGCCTGAGAAGAAACTCCCCAAGACCCCTGAGGTCAAGCTCCCGAAAGTGCCTGCGGTAGCTCTTCCAGAAGTACAACTCCGAGAAGTGGGGCTCCCAAAAGTGTCAGAGATGAAACTCCCAAAGGTGCCGGAGATGGCCGTGCCAGAGGTGCAACTTCCAGAGGTGCAGCTGCCCAAAGTCTCTGAGATGAAACTCCCCGAGATGAAAGTCCCGAAGGTGCCCGAGATGGCCGTGCCCGATGTGCACCTCCCGGAGGTGCAGCTGCCGAAAGTCTCTGAGATGAAGCTCCCGAA